AGAGATATTTTGGTAATCTATAGTTACTATTTTTAAGTTAGAGTCTAATGGGGGTTTTTCTAAATTGTCATTTTTTTGAGGGAGGGAGAGGAAGGTGTTGATGCGGGTGAGGGAGGAGGAGAAGTCGGCATAGTCTCAAAAGCACTCAAAAATATCCCCAAAGTTTTGAAAAATAAATCAGATTCCCATTAAGTTCCCCTGTGCCACACCAAAATTGATGCTTACCAGAATTAAAAGGTAGGGGAACATTTGTGCCAAGAAGTAATTAGGAACTGTTTTGTTAAGTGCTTTGATCGGATTAAAAGAAAAAAGCAAATTTTCATTTTTTTTACTTATTTTTAATTGCTTGGTGCGATAATGAGATGTCAGACCCATGCTGTCGATCAAAATAGAATGACTGGTTTCCTTTTCGCGCGCTGCCCATTCTTTTGTCAACTCTTTTTTGTATTTTTTATCATTCCTCAAAACTAATTTAGTAAAAAAATAACTAACAAAATTAAGTAAAATTAATCAAACAAAAGCAAAAGCGGCTTCTTTGACTCCCATTTGGCTAAAATCTTCTCATTTTATTCATAACGAAAGAACAATGGTGAGAGCACTATGGTAAATATGATTAGGCAAATGTTCTCAATAACGACCAAATTGTCCCGAATCTAATTCAACCAGAGTGCTAATTTCCTTTTGTCGGGCCTTTTTTTCGGTCAAAGGCAATTGACGAAATTTTTCCAAGAGTGTATTTTTGACATAATGCCCTCCTTTAATTCTTAACTCTTCCTCCCAGAGACTAGAAAAATAAGAGATAAACGCAAAGAGACCAACCAATACTAATCCCCAAAAAACAAGTTGCTTTAAGGTTAAATTAGGAAATAATCCTTGTAATTTTTCCGGTAATAGGAGGGAAAAATTATCACCATCAAATTTTTTTTCAATAATGTTATTGATGAGAGCAAAAACTATAGTATAAAGTATCGTCCAAACGGTGATAAGTAAAAAATGTCTAAATACTTCCCATTTAAATTTCTTAACTAGGGTTCAAAAACCGATTTTTTTGATTGGAGATTGGCGAACAGACGGAGAATTTGGTGATTTTCTCGGCATAAAGATGTATTAATTATTTTTTTAGCCTATTTGCTTATATCTTTCTACTGTACCATTCCACTACTAATGAAGTATCAATGTCTCTATTTAATTCTTCAGGTTGAGGAATACGCAAATAATTAATAGCCAATTTTTGCTTGTCAAAATTTAGATAGGAGGGAAATTTAATATTCTGTTCTAAATTATTTTTAACCAGTTTATTTTCAGCCATTTTTTCTTTTTTTAGGCTAATAACCTGACCGGGTTCTACTTTAAAAGAGGGGATATTGACTGTTTTTCCGTCAACTAAAAAGTGCCTATGGTTAACTCATTGACGAGCACAACGAAGGGTGCTGGCTAATCCCGAACGAAAAATTATGTTATCCAAGCGTGACTCAGAACTGGTTAACAAATTAACACCAGTATCACCCGCCTTAAACCACTCGGCCACACCTCCTTATTTTTTAATTTTAGAGTTTTTTTAAAAAGTTGCTAAACATTCCAACGAACAATACTAAAACTTATATATAGATTATAGATAACAAAAATTATTATTCTAACAAATAAGTATATCAACAAAAATTTATACTCGTATCATGGAAAACGAAAACACAAAAAAAAAAAAACAAGTTCAAGAGTTTTTTAATAGTTGGACTGGTATTGAATATGGTGTAGCCAAAATATTTAATTTTGATTGTAGCCATAGAGAGTTAACCGACGACTTAAAAATAGAAGGTCTTAAAAATCTAATTTCGGTTAATGTAGGTAATAATAAAATTACTGGTTTAGAAATCTTGAACTGTTCTAAATTAAGGAGGTTAATTTGTTCTCACAATGAATTAAAAGACTTAAAAATAGAAAATTGCCCTAATTTAGAACGGATTTATTGTTCTCATAATGACCTTAAAAAACTAGATTTAACTCACCTAAATAATTTAAAAAAATTATTTTGCAAAAATAACCCTAATTTAAAAGATGAAGATATAAAAATCTTACCCACTACTGAACTTTTAGACGCCGAAAACTTTAACGAAGAAGAGAAAAAGAAAAAAGGTAATGCTCAGAAGTTTTTAGAAGAAAAGTTCTCTGATAAGAGTACGAAAATTATTGATTTAAGCAATGAAGAAATAAATGGAAGTTTAGATTTAAAAGATTATCCTAATTTACAACTTTTCGAATGTTCGAATAACGAAATTGATAGACTAAATATTGAAAACTGCCCTAAATTAAAAGAAATATATGCTTATTCTAACAGGTTAAAGGAGTTAAAAATAAATGATTTTACTAAATTAGAGAAGTTAAATTGTGGATTTAATAAGTTAGAAAAGTTAGAAATTGAAAACTGCCCCGAGTTAAGATATTTATATTGTAATGAAAATAATTTAAAAGAATTAAAGGTTAATCATTTAAGTAATTTATCTCAACTTTACTGCCA